TCGAGGAGGCTCTCTGGAGGAGCTATAACCGAGGATACACTGATGGGTCCTCTACGGTCCTCCACGGCTCCTTCGCGGATGCATTTCCGGGAACAGAGATGTTTCAAAGAGTCGTGACGCACGGCCGGACTTATCTCAGCCAATGACAGCTCTGCGTGCATCCCCTGGATATTATTTTATTAACTGCTTTCATCGCGACGCAATGTTTACAGTGAGAACAGCTGTGAGGTCCGTGCAGAAAGCAGAGCAGTGTGTATAATATATATCACTCAGTATAACAGGCCTACTCTCTTTATTTGCTTTAGTGTAGAAGATATCTACAAACAAAGAGTCGATATTTTTCTAAAAACATGTAGTGCTTCACATAATAAAATACACTACGGCTGTAGCCTGTTTTANCCACGGCTCCTCTGGATGCATTTCCGGGAACAGAGATGTTTCAAAGAGTCGGATGCACGCAGAGCTGTCATTTGCTGAGATAAGTCTGGCCGTGCGTCACGACTCTTTGAAACATCTCTGTTCCCGGAAATGCATCCAGAGGAGCCGTGGAGGACCCATCAGTGTATCCTCGGTTATAGCTCCTCCAGAGAGCCATATCCTCGGTTATAGCTCCTCCAGAGAGCCTCCTCAACGCTCGATCCTCGGTCCTCGAAGTGTATTTAGAGAAATTAGATGTCCTTCAACATGGCGCGCTGAAATTCATTTCCGGGTCACTACCGGAGGACCGAGGAGGGGGATTTGATGAAATGAGAAAGGGCCATGGCCAGCTCCGCTGTATGTGCAGCTTTAGTTGCAGTAGGGTGAACCAAAGATTGATGAAATAATATTTGCAAATAAGTCGTGGTGCTGGTTTAGTCTGGATAGTGCAGAAGATTTAAAGAGTGACTGTCACTGACTAGAAACATTTAATTTAAAGGTCCCATGTCATGGCCATTTCTACTGATCATAATTCCATTGTTGAGGTATACTAAAATAGATTTATACTGTGCAATTTTCCAAACTCACATTGGTTCCTCATACAGCATCTCTGTATAGTATGTGTATTCACTTCATAACACACAAGGGGACTGGTAATAACCAGAAAAGCATTACATGGGACCTTTAAAACCTTATTATCAAAAGATTTATGATAACTATACTCAAACCACACTGTGTACACAGTGTACAATGCAGTCGTAAAAATACGTTAAATATGTTAAATTCTGGAGTGCATACATTTACAATATTTCCTCTTGTACCCATTTACTTGTTGCAACAACACTGAGTCATTCAAATATGATTATTGGTATTCCTGATGTTTCCACGTGTTTTTGGCAAATAGCTATGCAGAAGAAAGATTAAATGCATTTGATGCAACAAACAAACTCTGATCCTCCTGTCTAATGATGGTTATTAATGGTTAACACAACAGAGATCACATTTTTCTAATTTCTGAGATGGTCCACTGTATGCACTTTTAACCCCTTGGCTCCCTCATCTAAACATACAGCCCTTTTAGCCTCTAGTAAAATACCATTGATATGAGGACTTTTAAAATTGTGCAATGGTGAGAATATAATGTATCCCACCGGAGCGCTAAAGACTGGACAAATGCCTCAGGGGCCTACTCCAGAATGAAAGGCATTTCATTCTCTTAGTAAACACATTTCAATAATGTGAGCAACTCTGGCTCTTTCTAAAGGACAGCACACAGATACATACACGTATTTTACAATTAACCTCCTAAACACATCCTCGCACACTTCAAGAAATATGGGAATGTGCTGAGCAAGAAGCTGGGGAATTTATTATTATTAAAATAATTGTTATTTTTTCTTCGGTTGATTTAATTTATACAGAACCCTCTGCATGTTTCAAAAATCATTACTGTGCAGTTTTCTGTTTCAGTGGCAGTGCAGTTAGTGTAATGGCCCTGATTACATCTGTCGAGATGGATTAGTTGAAGAGGAGCCTGGGAGATGATGATGTTCTCTACTTAAAACAACAGAGCAATGATATCACAGCACAACGGTAACACTAAACTCCGCCGAGACACTCCTCGCTCCCTGCCTCAGCTCCAACAGCCAAAACTACGCCCACCAGCTTCCCACTTCCCAACAAAACACTCACCCCAACCGCAACCCGACTACCCTCACAACCCCTCCGTCAGCTCAGACCGAAGCTGCGCTGAGCCAGGTCCTCGGCTGCAGCCAGGATCCAATTACACGCTATTACATATTTTATTAAAAGGGGGTGTGGGGGGGATCAAAACAAAACAAAAAAGAATAACTGCCTCATTAAAGATTTACTGAGAAAGGTCAAGCCAATTGACCCCTAACATGCAGCCATCTCATCTCCAAAGAGAGGCTTGTTTTTCCCTGAGCATATTTCAGGGTGTTTGATTCCAGAAGAGAAGCCAAGTAAGATAAAAAGAAATACTGAGTTACAGAAACAGACACAGGCAGACCAGTATGGGTAGGAGAAACGCCAGCATAAAGGACAGGGCAAACACAAGAGATGCATGAGGTAAAACAGATTGCTTTTGCTAGACGATGAATGAGCGAGGATTAACCGCATGATACTAGTGGTTACACATATTATCCATCAGCAGCAGCAGGCATAGTCACAAGTTTTTTGAAACATCTTGCAAACTGAATATGCATGCTATTAATTAAACCAAGTTAAATGTCAATCTATTCATCTGAGAAATGGCACCAGCTTAGACATTTTATACTTTCTGCACTTTATCAAAAGTAAGAGGCTGAAAACTGCTAATGTGTCCGTATCATTTGTGGCAGATCCAATTATCTCCCAGGCAGAATACGCAAGTCAAACCTGTAGGTAGTTTTTCAGTATTGCCAGAGGACCCAATTTAATTAGAAAATACCCATCATGATAGATCCAACAAGAAAAAGGTCAGTGACCTATTTTAACATCCTAACCCTCAGTTTGTGAAGTGCTTAAAGTGATTTTAAGAAATCTTCAACATGACTGCAATGTCATGGCTTTTCTGCCTCACAGACCACTCTTCCAGCCTTTCTGTAACTTAGAATAACAGCCACAAGATCCAGGCCTACAAACACTCTTTTCTGAGATAATCTCCCGGGGTAATGTTCCAAAACCAATGTGTTTCCAAGTCGAAAAACAAATATTTAAATAGCTCTTTCCATACATAACTTCAGTGTCAATTCCTGAGCTAAAACATCCACGCATGCTTTGGACAGGGGTGCTCACGAAGAAAAAATAATAAAGATATGTGGTTTGGAATATGAGCTAATGTGTGCATTACTATGACACACTGAAGACCAAGCAAACATTCTGGTCACTGACTAAAGAGCGGAGTGTGTGATTTACTCTGCGAGGTGCCATGGCACAGTGCAGCGCTACCAGCTTCTCTGACCAACAACCTGGTCCAAAAGAGCAGAGCCAAGGGAAAATAGCCACGAGATGGAGAGAGATTCCAACATAAGCCTCAACTTCTTACACATCTTCTCAGTCCCTGGACTGTTACAGGATTCCAGTGACGAACGTAGAGCACCAATCCAAACGAAAAAAAACCTTAATGGCAGCTTAGGGAATGCATCAATCAAAGGATATGTGCTTGCCTACTAACCACACATAACAAATTGATATGAGCCTTGGAAGAAGTTTCAAAAGTGTAACCGGCTCTTTGAGAATGTCTCCCCTCAAAGGGGATAATGCTCTAAGGCTGATTTTGCGAACAGATATATGAGTCTTAGCATCTCTAGGAAATTACAGTCTGTAATTTAATTTCAAGCCAAATTGTGTGCTGCACTATGATCGCTATTCAAGAAAAATCCCCTGATTTTCACCCCAACCACAACTTTGCAGCATTTATTGCTACCCAAGCACACAGTGTCAGCACAGACGTGTTGCCTATTCATCGTTTCTAAAGGATATCCTCCAGATAG